TTGCTCATACTCTCACAGGTTTAAAGGGACAGAACCCAGATTGGAACAGAAGCCATTTGACACTAAATCCAGCATGCATTCCACATTACAACACTCTCTTTCAACATGTTGGCCTCAATCTCATAAACCATAGATTTAGAGGTTGAAGGAACCTATGAGGTTATCTAGAGTAACTCCCTAATACTACAGATCAAATGGTTTCGGATTAAGTGGTTTGTCCATACAAGTACTAAATAGCAGAACTAGAATGAGAATCTAGTTCCTAAGCTTGCAAATCTAGACTGCTTCATCTCTGAAATGAGGAGTTTGAACAAGATGAACTGGGATAACTAGTTTGCGGCAGCAAAGGCAGTGGATAAAGTAGGAAGTTAGGAAGGCCTGAGTTCAAATTCAGACACAGGTATTACTAGCCATGTGACCCTGTATAAAACACTTAACGTCTGTCTGCCTCAGTTTCTTCAACTATAAAAAGAGGGTAATAATAATACTTATCTCCCAGAGCTGTTGTGAGGGAAAATTTGTATTTGTAAAGCAATCAGCACAGTGCCTGGCACATAGTAGGCACTTAAAAAATGCTTGTCTTCTCCTCCCTTCGTAGATGATTTCTAAGGGTCCAAACCTCATGATCCTATAAAATCAAAATGCTATTTGAAATGCAAGAGCTTGTTGACTTTCTCCCATCTATTTCTTAGTAAGAATAAGATACTTAAATATATGAATGGGGGAGATGGGAGAGAAATGTAATAAATGCATAGAGAGCACCACCATATTCTGTGTTATCATGCCTTTGCTTCATTCAGCACCATGGACATGAACACTTAGACCTGCCCCTTTCTAAAGACAGAATCCTGATCATTTGAAATAAAGCCCTGCGGTTTGAACTAGGTTTGTTCCTAGGTGATAGGAGGGAAAGATAGGAACTATAGCAACTCCAAATGGAAATAAGTTTTGTGAAATTCCACCAACGGGGGGCTGGGGGGGGGAGGTACAGATGATTGAATGCTGCCTGACTCAGGCCAGTGATAATAGTGCCCCACTTTCCAGAGCATTGAATTTGCTCCAAAATTTAATTTTTTTGAATAAATAAAACACAAAGGTCAAAATGCTCCTCGAAGAAATGGGGATTTGAAAATGGAAAATGCTCAATAATGCTTTTTACTTTTCTCTGTGTTATATTAATGACTTTTCCCAAACTCTGTTCCAAAGGGATTTTTTTTAGATATGCTAATGTCAGGGTATTTCTCTAAGACCTAAGTCCAATGTGGCTATTGAAAAGGCACTAATAGAAGATACTCTTGAAAATCACCCAGTGATTATCAGCATTCTTTAAAACTGAACTGAAATAAAATGCCCCTTTAGGTCCAAACCAGGAAACCAATAAGCATTTTTCTTTCCCCCAGGCTCTAGGCCTGGAAATAATAGAACTGACTACAGAAATGCTTCAATACTTCAAGAATCTGTGGTTTTCTCCATTTAAATGCTACTTCCCCCTTCCTATATTACCCCACTTCCTCTCCCATGTGGATCATGACCCCCTCTAATAAGCTAGCAGATAGTCTTTTAAGAATTACTTGGGCCAAAAAAATACATCACCTTCAACCAACATATTACCAACCTTTCTAAGCTTAGCTAAACTGGTTTTGGGAAACAGATATACAGTCTATATCCAGCATACACTTGAAACATTTCAAGGTAACAATACCTGTTGTCACTTGTAATCTGCTAGTAGAGCCTTCAAGAACCCAAGGTCATCTCCATTCCATATGGCAGTATTAGAGGAAGACAAATGTAACCCAAATAGACATAAAGTGAGACAAGAAGTTTACCTCTCTAAGCCTCAGTTTCCATATCTGTGCAATGAGTGAGTTAGACCAGATGGACTCCAAGGTCCTTTCTATTTCTAATTCTTTTTAAATTACATTTTATTTTTTAATTAACAGAAATCAATTTTCTCTTCTCACCCCCACTTCATTAAAAAAAGAAGAAAAACTAATCCCTTACAACAAATATGAAGTCAAGCAAGACTTCATTGACCACGTTCAAAAATGTCTCATTCTGCATCTTAAATCCATAATCTTTTGTCAGGAAATGGGTAGCATACTTCATTGTAGGTCTTTAAAACTATGATTTGATGGGCTTTTGATCACACAATATCATATGCTAAAATCATAGGCAAAACAGAAAGGAACAATATATTCCTACCAGCATGTTTCTACCCTGGAACTTCCTCAGCCCCTGGGGCCTCCTTACTCTGGAACATTTCCTTACAGCTGTCTCACCTTGGCATATCCCTCTGTCAGACCGGCTACCTTCTGCCATTAGTGAATTCCTTTCAGTGCCTCCATTTTGAGGAGGATGCCAGGCAGCCAAACTTCATTAACCTCCCAGATGTGCTTCTGACTTTCTGTACTTCAACACTGTGTTCCCATATGTGTGTACCTTCTCTCCTCTCTTCCTCTGCATACTTTTTAGCTCACTTTTGTGGTCTTCCTCCATTCGAATATAAGCTCCTCAAAGGTAGGTGCTGTCTTTCTTTTTGCTTGTTTTTATATCCCTAACACTTAGCACTGTACTTGGCATATAGTAAGCACTTAATAAATGCTTTTCTTGGATCATAGGATGCTACTTGAAGCCAGGTCTCCATCAAATTTGTATGGCCACATAATGTATACATTCATTATAAAGTCCATCCCACAGTTGCGGCTAATCATAGTGATCACAAGCCTGTCAAATTAGTTCCTCTCATGTACAGAAAAGCACAGGAAGCCAACTTGTTCCTAGTCCCTGGTTTTCCCATCAAGCCCACTCTCCCAGAGTCCAGTAGATTGATAGGTGCATCAGGACCTGGGTGGATTATTCATGGGTCTCTAGGAATGAATGTGTATATTGAGGAGAAGGATTCCATCTTGACTCTATTCATAGTTTGCATGATCTGCAAACATCAGAATCATTTTCTATTCAATAAAAACGTAAAGACCTTCCATATGCAAAGCACTGTGTTTTATCACCTCCACCTGCTCTTCACTGTGATTTGAATCTCCCTTCATGCCCCTCTCCACCCATCACTGATGCCCTTCAACTCTTGAATTTCTACACATTCCTTAAAGGTCACCTTCTTCAAGAAGTCTTCAGTCAGCAATGACCTTCCTCCTCAGGCCTCCTATATTGCTTTATTTCATGACTATCTAATGCAGACCCTTTTGTGTGTTATAAAACCCTCTGTGAACTCCTTTTCAGAATAACATTTTTAAATGCATAAAATAGAATACATAGGATTCCAAGAGGAATTAATTATGTTGAAATACAGTGTGTTTTTTTAATTCCCAGTTCGCAGGTTAAGAACCCCTACTCTAAGACATTTATCCCATAATATTATGTATTATAATTATTTATGCTAGTATTTTATTCTCCTCCTTGACTACAAATTCACTAAAGAAAGCAGCTGTATCTCACCTATATTTTGTTTTATGCATACAGTGTTAACAAATATTTTTAATACATTATTAGGTGGTGGGGATATAAATATGAAAAAATAATGCATCCCCTGTCCTTAAAGAGTTTACAATCTAATGGGGGAGACAGTAACATACAAAAATAAGATAGAAAAAAGAAGGTTATGACAAGATTAAATAAAAGCTCTAAAGTACTCTAAAAAACTTGTGAAATGGGTGATCATTTTTAGCTAGGGACATGACACATGACTTCATGGAGGAAGGGCTCATGAAATTGACCTTGAATAGGAAGTAATATATTTCATATATGAGGATATCCTGGATGAATATTTGGAGGTGGGAGGGATCAGGAAAAGATAGAGGGAAAGTTCATAAAGTTTAACAGGAACATAGAGGTTATGCAATGTAGTCATGAGAAACAAATCTTAAAAGGTAGATTGGAATCAAGTTGTAGAAGGCCTTTAATTCCGGGTTAAAGATTTTGTATTTTCTCTGAAAGGCCATAGGATAACATGGAAGGTTTCTGAATTTAGTGGTAACATGATTACACTTGCATCCAAGAATGTTCTGATCTCCCATCATCTCTTGCATATTCACTCTATGTGAAATACAGTTTCATTATCTTCTATAAACATGGGTTCCATAAAATGTCCCCTGCTTCTCCCTTCTAGAATATAAAATAACAAGGGAGAGGAGAGAGGAAAGGAGAGAAGTACAAAGTTGTACCTTAATGAATTATCCTACATCCTTTAATACTTTAAGAAGTCTTGATTTCATCGGTATCCTTCCATCAACACAGATAATAATCCCTTCCACAATGAAGTAGTTAGTTTCGATACAGCCAAAAACATTCGTCACCTAACAACGATTTACCTAGGCTGGTCCATAAGACTCCCATGGCTGGGTCTATGCTAAGATGATGGGAAGAGAGATATAAATGTGACTCTCAGAGAATATTAAGTCCAACCTTCTAATTTTATACATAAGAAAACTGAGGCTCAGATAGGTTAAGTGACTTGCCTCAAAGCTTACACAAGCAGGAGAGCTCAAACTTGAACTCAGATTCCCAAGTCCTTGGGTAGAACTTGGTTGAACTAATCAGTTGGTGCTTTGCTGACGTATGCTTCAAATGTTACCTCGAGTTGCCTCTACAGCAAGTCAAACTTTCAGTTTAAAATCTCTTAAATACTAACTAGGGAGAACAAGGTTAGAGAGAATATATTGCATACAATAAGCCTTCTGGATGTCTTTCATCAACGTGAAAAGCTTGAATCCCTGAAACCTGAGTCCTTTTCACGTCCTTTCCTTCTTTACAGAGGTGGGGGGTGGCTATGGGTATAGAATATTGCATATATTCTCAGGCTATTGATGTGCTGGTTACTCTTGATGAATTTTTAACACTTTTTTAAATTATGTGTTACAAAGAATGGCTCTCTGAGTAAGAGAGAGGGGAGGAATATATTTGCAAATGAAGGCACTCTAAAAAAACAAAAGATATCAATAACTTTTTAATGAATGTTTTATTTCTACTATTTTTAGTGTCATTGGGAAAAGATGTACACAATGAGAGTATTCACATAAGTCAATCTTCATTCCATTTCAAAGCCTGTAAGATTTCCCAGATATTCCAAAGGTCCCCTTCCCTGAGTAAAATAGTACATTTATTTAATAAAGCATGTAGGATTTACAATCTAAGTGCTGGTAAGCACCTTTTTTAGCTTCCTGCAAGATAAATGGCGTTGATAGCTTTTTCTTTTTCTTTCTTTTTCTTTCTTTCTTTTTTCTTGTTTTTGCTACAAGTGAACAAGTTTACAATTCACAATTGAATTACCAAACTGAGCAAAAGAATAATTATTCCTGGGGGTGCTGTGCAGGTTGCAGAATTGTTTTCTTTTGAAGGAGGTTCAAAGAATTAGCAATAAATGTTATCAACCACAGCTTGAAAATGATGCTGACTTACTGCTTTGTTCAGACCCTAAAAAGTATCGTAAAAAACACATCCTTTCCCTGGGTTTCCCAAAGAAAATCTAAAGTGGGGGCGGGGGGAGAACAATATCTTCATGCATCTTCAACCTAAATTGATCTACAGAACAAGGGAAAATCCCAGGTCCTAAGTTTCTGTGTCTGGGATGAGGACCATGCATTATTCAGTGTTTCAAATAAAATGTGCACTTAGAGTAAGCAGCTCATGCAAACTGTGGGTAGAGTCAAGATAGAGTCCTTCCCCTCAACACAAGTGTTCATTTCTAAGGATGGGAGAACAGAGTTTGGAGAGAGAAAGGAGTGGTCTGTTTTCACTTGCTACTGACAATACAGGAAATAAGGGGCTTTTTTATCTTTCTATTGACTTTGACCCATAAATACAACAACCAGCCAGTATCCTCTTTGTCTGAAAACTCCAATTAAATATGTATAACTTCAGTATTTGTGAAGAGGAGGGGCAAAAAGCCACTGACAACGAACATCACTATATTGAACAAGGTTCACCTTTAGAAATCAGAGAGTCTATTGCCAGAGTCTTTCCTTCGAACACGGTAGGAGTATCCAGTATCCAGTCCTTGTGCTTATTTGAGTAGACTTCATAAGCTCAGAGCCACTATCATGGAAGAAAGAGGCATACAAATTCAGCAAAAAATAAGAGTCAGACAGAGAGACAGAGTCAGATACAAAATGGTAGATACACTTACAAACAAACATGTATGAGTTCTTAAGTAAGGAGAAGGAAAAGGAAGAAGTGAAGGGAAAAAAGAAGAGTAGGAGGAGAAAGAGGAGGAAAAGAATAAGAAAAAGGGGAAGGAGAAGGAAGCAAAAGAAGAGGAGGAGAAAAAAAGAAAAGAGGAAAGAGAAGGAAGAAGAAAAGAGGGAGGAGGAGGAGAAAGAAAAGGAAGAGGAGGAGGAGGAAAAGAAGGAAGAGAAGGAGACAAAGAAAAATAAGAGAACATACTAGACATTGAAAGGAGCTTAGAGATGATATAGCTCAAATTTCTCACTTTACAGACGAGAAAACTGAAATCCATAGTGGGGAAGTGATTTGTCCATACAGGCAATTATGGGACTGGAACAATAATAGCTGAAATTTATATAGCAATATAAGATGTCTAAAGTACTTCAAAAATATTATTTCATTTGATACTCATAGCACCCTGTGATGTTGGTGCCACAGGCATTATTAACTCCATTTACAAATGAGGAAATTGAGGCTGAGAACACTTAGTGATTTCCCCATAGTGACACAGCTAGTAAATGTTAGATATAGAAGCTAAATCTAAGTCTCTCTGGACTCCAAATTCAACACTCTTTCTATCATACCATACTGCCTCCAAATAAGTATTGTAGAAACACCATACCCCAGCATTTGGTTCCAAAGCAGCCTAAATTTGAATCTTGTAGCTCCATCATTTTGATTATTCCATCACTCAGGGAAAGGGTTTCAGCTACCTTCCAAAGTCCAAAAGAAACACATTCTTTATACTCCTACCAACAAGTAGCTCTTGAATAAAAACTATGTGACTGTTGAATCACACAAAATGAATCAATGTTTATGCCACAGCAAGCCTATACAATCTTACTGAAGCTGTCTTGAATCCCAGACAACCAAGATAGATGATCTTGGAGTTATCTTCCTGTGAAGCCTTTATTATTTTCTGCAGACTACCAATTCAAAAGCTAGTCATCCCAAATAAAAATATAAAGAGGCATCCCAGACAATTCAGAAGGGATTCTGCTTGCTCTTCCAGCTCCCCCTGACTCTAATCAGCATTCATTGAGTAACCTAGTGATCTGGATTAAAATTGTTTTATCAGAAATGAATTGTGGAAAAAATTAAGACTTGTAATTTGTTAATAATCACCATTTGTAATATCATCTCTCACTCAATATGCTGACCTACTGTACAGAATTTTTTAAAAAGCAAGCTCCCAGCAGATTTCACATTGTTATCTTGGGTAACAGAACTCATAGGATTCCATTTCCAGTAATGCACAATTGATTAGATACTGTTTCTCTCTAATGGTGTTATGTGTTGGTTTTCTCTCCTTCATCAAGATTATAAATACCTTCCAAATGGAAACCATGTGTTTTCCTTTTGTCCCCACCCCCTAATTCCTAGCATAGTACTGAGCATAGGACATATGCAAAATATATGTGTGGATTGATTGTGAATTGCCCGAATTGATGAATTCAGGAGAATGTGATGCTTCTGGACTCATCTAATCAACTAAGAGATCACAACCTTACCTTTGGCAAATTTCACACAGAAGATAACACCTGATACCAAGTGCAAAATGTGAGCCTAGTCACATGTAAATTTCACTCTTTAGTGAAAGATTCACTATTCACTACTTAGCTCAAGTTGGGAGCTAAAACAACCAAAAGATGAAACCATAAAGCAGCAGAGCTGATAAAATTAAAAGGTTATAAACTGAACTCAAATTAAGTTCAATAGCCAATATCAGTGGCACAGGTCAGTGATTTCCCTGTATTGGTAGAGAGATGGTGGGATATGGGTGTAGAATGTTACATACACTGTCAAACTCCAATACTGTGTCAGATGGTTTTGTCTGATTTTTTCTCTGCTATAAGAGAAAACTCCAGGGGGAGGGAGTGATGCTAGGAAGTGATTGTGATGTAATAAAACAAATGCATGAACGAAACAAATAAAAATGGACAGGCTATTTGAGATGAGTCCAAATCAAACCATGACACATCTCTGAGAAAAGTCAGATGTATTGTGATTTATGCCACTGTCATTTACACACAACATTGCTGTTGTAGATGCAGGCTTCCAGAGAATTACAGGTCAGCCTTCATGGAGGGATTTTAATGAACTGGCAGCACTTCATCATTTTGGTAATCATAGAAATTAGAGGAGGAAATTAGAGCCTTGTTAGGTCATCTAGTCCATCAACCTGCCAGCCCTGAATAGGTCTCTAGTGCATATTTTCTATTGCTTTACAACTCTGCCTGGTGGAAATGTTTTCTGTTACTAGAAGAAATTTGGGCTAAAATCCATCTTTCTTCTTTGCATTCACCTCCCACTGAGGTCAATGGTCCAAAAATTGACTCCCATCATTGGCAAAGTACCCTGTTGCAGCTGGAATTATAAAGTAGCATCTGACTCATCAAAGAGAATAGTGATTTCATTGCATTTGTTTGTTTTTTTAAAGAGCTTGACAATAATAAATCCTCTTGCTACTTAAGACCAAATGATCAATCTCACTCCCAAGGACCAGTTACAAGCATGTAGTTGGGAGAAATCTAAACCAGTGGTTATTACTCCCAAAAAAGGAACACAAGCACAGGTTGGAATAGAATTAGGTTAGTGCATTGCTGCAGTATGGCCCTTGCATTCCATTGTCCTTAATGTAATCGGAATTTCTGAAGATAAACTCCTCTTCCATTTATTGTCACTGCCATCTAGTGATACAGCCTGTAATTACAACTTGGCTTCAATTAAGAACTATACAGTACTACAGTCTCCTTCCTTCTCTGGGCACAGTCAAACAAAACAACTGCCTCACTTGGGTAGGGCTCAAGAAGCAAAATTAGGTCATGCCAGTGAATTTGAGCTTCTAAGTTCAGAGTCACCCTGAGCATTACTGGTGGATACTGTCCAGCTAATATTTGCCTGTTGCACAGTGACTAATGCCAAAGTCTCCACTGAGAAGGCATGGCAGAACTTGGGTATATGTAGTCATTACTAGCAATGCTGTGTATATTACTGGTATTAATCTTTGGGAATGCAAATTGATTTGCTAGGCTCTCTTTAAAGCAATTGGAAGTGGGTTCATATTCAGCAAGATTTCTGAAGTGTAGGGCATTTGGAGAGTTCAAAAAATTTCATGTGCTCCTACCATTATTGTGTTTTCTAATTAGCATGTTAATTGTCAGGAAGAATTAATAAAACCTACCTCAAAAACTCTACATACCAACCAAGAAAAACTGACCTCTTGGAGAAGAAAACTGGTTGGGCTTTCCTCCAAGACAAAATTAAGAAGCTACTTATGCTGTATTTTTCAATGATTATTACAATAATGTTCTCTAAGGTAGGTCAGTTTATTCCCAATTAATACATGGAGAATCATTTCAGCAAAGATTCTACCCTCCCCCCTTTTTAAAGACAGAAATAGAGAGACAGAGACAGAGAGAGACAGAGAGAGACAGAGACAGAGACAGAGAGAGATGTGAAAGGGGCAGAATCTTGATAGCACCCAGAAAGCCACTCTGGAGTTTGGACCACAAACAATGCTCAGAATAATTGGAGTCAATCACCACTCAATGCATGAATCCTTCAAAACCCACCACGAAAACTATGTGGATCAAAGTCAGTGGCCTTCTAGTTGAAGAATTCTGAAGAATCCTTATGTTTCATTAAGATAAGTGCTCATTACAATCAAGTTCAATGATTACTTATGGAAGACAGACATTGAGAGGGAAAATGTAGATCCAACATACAATTAGTTTCATCAGTATTATACTATTTCCTCTTCAGTCCCACTCAGGGGAACTATTCTCTATCTTATTGATAACTCATACTCTAGGGTTTACAAAATACTTTCCTCAAAGTAATTTCCTCACTACCCTATAAGATAGCTAGTATGATTATTATTATTCCCACATTACAGTAAAGGAAATTGAGACTCAGAAAAGTTAAATGATTCAGCAATGGACCTATAGCTATTAAGTACTAGAGTTGAGACTTGAACCCAAGACTACATGAGTCAAATAGATGAATTCTTTCTACTATACTGTACTGTTTCATGTATACAGTGATGCTGACCTGGTCTGGACCTTATATTTAAGAAGATCTAAGAATAACAAATATTAGTGAATTTGGCATTGATGGAGCCACATCTTTCTAAGGTACAATATGTCAGCTAGATTTGCTGGCCTACATCATATCTTAGTTATAAATTCAGTTATTTTAAGGATGGCCTCACCTCTTTTCCAACCAGGAAGATTTATATGATGTAAAGAACATAACATGTTAGAGCTGGAGGGACCTTAGAAATCCTCTTTATCTTATCCTTTCATCTTACAAATAGGGAAACTGATATCCAGGGAGGGAAAATGATTTATATATCTACTAAGTGATCCACATTTTCCGATATCCACTCATGTGCTCTTCCCATTATACCACGATTCTGTGTGGTCAGGTTACACTTTAGTGTTTTTGTTTGCACCCTCAGAGTCTAAGGGAAGTCTACAGCAATCCTAAAGCAATCCTACGGATCTAAACTGTCCCTCAAGGAGTAAGGGCAATGCTAATACATAACAACAATATAAACTCAATTTCCCTTTTTAGGGCCAGAGCTGACTTGGGTTAAAAAGTGGATGGGGGAATGTGAAGCTAATACCCTATATGTTTCAGAATGCTCAGTTTCTACTACATCAGGTTTCTACATGAATTCTAAGACCATTAAGGAACCTGTAGTAGTTGGTTAATAACAAAAGAGGGTAGTATAAGTGGAAAGGATTTTATCTCTTCTTCAGTTCTATAAAGATGCTATGTTGTGCTCAGAGGCACTGAAGAGGAGAATCAAACAGAAGGCCTGTAGTCTCTCATCTTGAACCCAAAGATAATCTTGTGCATAGGTA